ATACTAAGCTCAAATTTATGACTTCACGATTTTGGTAAAGCAAAGAGCTTCGTTTAGTTTCTTGGAGATTGCTCTGTACTTGTTCTAGGGTTTATTGAGCTTCGATTTAATTCATTATATGATTCGTATCCTCGTTTTCGCATATCGGATCAATAACCCTTGATGGGTTTATTTCTTTTGCGTTTTATATTACTAGGTTCTTTAAACACATATAAAGCTGGGACTTTTTAGAATCCTTTTATTGGTTTTTTTTGTTAGAGAACAGTTTTACATCTGAATCTAGCTAATAGTGAATGGTATTTCTGCATCTTTTGTTGGAATTTATCACTTAAAACAGTTCGGTTTTCTTTTATTTTGGTCCTTAGGTTCTCAAATGTGAGTATGCTGTCCGTGGAGAAATTGTCAACATTGCTCAGGTAAACAACCTTGTCCTAGATTGTATTCTTCTTAAGTAGAAACTGTTTTTGCTCATTTTGCTTTCTGCTTCTGTCTCACAGAGGTTGCAAGAAGATTTGAAAACTAACAAGGATGCTTATCCCTTCGATGAGGTACAATATAATCGGTGTCAGTCCCTTTTCGCGTTGTCAAACTTTGAGTCTTATCATTAATGAAGCTTACAAGGTTCTCCGCTCTTGGCAGATAATCTACTGTAATATTGGGAATCCACAGTCTCTTGGTCAACAGCCTATAACATTCTTCAGAGAGGTAAATTAGTGAGCATTTTTTGGTGCTGCTTTGTTTCATGTGTTAGTCATGAGTTAACTTGTAACATTTATGTCTCAGGTTCTTGCTTTGTGCTCCCATACAGCCTTGTTGGATGAGAGTGCAACACACGGTTTGTTCAGGTACCAAAAGTGGTTTATATGCTTTTTACCTCACTGTAATTCAACTTCTGAGTTTGTTTGTTTACTTCTGTGATATAAGATTGTATAACATTGAGGTTTGCAATTCTTGCCAGTTCCGATTCAATTGCGCGCGCTTGGAAGATTCTGGACCAGATTCCCGGGAAAGCAACTGGTGCTTACAGCCACAGCCAGGTTTGCAAGATTACAAAATTTGATGGCATCTCTCTCTCTCTCATTGAAGGATTTTCCTCACTCGTTTTCTGTTCTGCTTCAGGGTATCAAGGGATTACGTGATGCAATTGCCGCTGGAATCGAAGCCCGTGATGGTTTCCCTGCTGATCCTAATGATATTTTCATGACCGATGGTGCAAGCCCAGGGGTAACGATCATCAAAACTTCCCTAAACTCATAAAAAATAGAACAACTTGGTGCGAAACTGACAGTAATCAATGTTCCTCTCGTTTTAGGTTCATATGATGATGCAACTTCTCATAAGTTCAGAGAAAGATGGAATCCTTTGCCCTATTCCTCAATACCCATTGTACTCAGCTTCAATTGCCCTTCACGGTGGAAGTCTGGTATGTTCGTTATGTCTGTATGATGTTGATACCATTTTGGCACATGCCTATATTGATTGTGGAAATGAATCTGCTTCCGAGTTTCTTTTGTCTTTCTTCTGATTGTTGTCGTCTTCTTCTGGTAGGTTCCATACTACCTTGACGAAGCATCAGGATGGGGTCTTGAAATATCTGAGCTGAAGAAGCAACTTGAGGATGCTAGGTCAAAGGGCATCACTGTAAGAGCTTTGGCTGTCATTAACCCTGGTAACCCGACAGGACAGGTAAAAATGGATCTTCAAGACTGAAAATCACAAATCTCTACTGATGCAGATTTCACAGTTTATCTAAATTTTGGCCTGCTATTTTTGGTTAAAGGTTCTTGCAGAAGAAAACCAGCGTGACATTGTTAATTTCTGCAAGCAAGAGGGCTTAGTTATTTTAGCGGATGAGGTTTATCAAGAAAACGTATATGTACCTGACAAAAAGTTCCATTCCTTTAAGAAAGTAGCCCGGTCTATGGGCCTTGGCGAGAAGGATATCGCCTTAGTCTCATTCCAATCTGTCTCCAAAGGTGTTGAAAAGGACAAATTTCTTAGTAAATTGATAAGCTTCTGGTCATTACGATGAGAAATTAGTCTTAAAATTGGATTCATTCTTTCGACAGGGTACTATGGAGAGTGTGGAAAGAGAGGCGGTTACATGGAGGTTACCGGATTCACTTCTGATGTAAGAGAGCAGATATACAAAGTTGCTTCTGTCAATCTTTGTTCCAACATTTCTGGTCAAATTCTTGCTAGCCTGATCATGAGCCCACCCAAGGTAACAAAACACCTTTATTACTTTCTCTTCCCAATTGATTTGGTTTTAAGCTCAGTTTCTAGCAGTTAAGTGGCTCGATTTTGCACACCGATAATGAATTTAACAGCTTCTATGAAATTTGGTCAGCCTGGTGATGACTCCTACGAATCATACATAGCAGAGAAGGATGGAATTCTCTCTTCTTTAGCAAAACGTGCAAAGGTTAGCCATTAAGAAGGACCATTCAAGATTAGATTTTCTTGTCTTTGATTTGTCTGGTCTTAATTTGTTTGAGATCCAACCGCGCAGACCCTTGAAGAGGCTCTGAAAAAACTAGAGGGTGTAACATGCAATAGAGCAGAAGGAGCTATGTACCTATACCCTTGCATTAACCTTCCACCAAAGGCGATTGCAGCTGCAGAAGCTGCAAAGACAGCAGCAGACGCGTTCTACTGCAAACGCCTTCTTAACGCTACTGGAATAGTCCTAGTCCCTGGTTCTGGCTTTGGACAGGTAAAAAAGAACAAGATTTCTCTCCAAAGAACCAAACCAGAAGCTCTCACTAAAAGAAACTGTTATTGATCTCTTTTTTCGGTTTGATGTAGGTACCTGGAACATGGCATTTCAGGTGCACTATTCTTCCACAAGAAGATAAGATCCCGGCGATTGTGAACCGTCTCACTGAGTTCCACAAGAGCTTCATGGACGAGTTCCGCAACTAAGCATTCTGTTTGAAGATCTCTCTATAGATATCAATATGAGTAATACTAATAATAAAAAGGTCCCTTGACATTCTTGTTTGGGCTCCGACATTTGTGTTTATAGACACAAGGAAGCTGAGATTTGAGTGCATTTGTTTGTGCTCGTGTCTTCTTTGCCATTCCTTTTGTTTTGTTCTTTTACATTGGCTGATAAAACCATAGAGGAATTATTGAAAAAATGAAAAGAAAGTTTTTACAGATGATTGTTACCCAAAAAAAGAAGTCAAATTGTTTGTGATGTTTTCTTCAAAAGTAACCGAGATTATTAAGGAAAATATTGCTATGCTTTATTACCTTCATGCTTACCATATTCAAAGTTTTGTTTCTTCTAGAATTGTTTTCTTGTTTAAAGGAAAGTTGTTTAAGATTTTAAATAATTTTTCAAATAAATAATTTTACTTTTTTTTAAATTCAAAATTTGTAGTTTTATTGAATTAATATTTAATGATGCGATGGGAAAACATATATAGATCTTTCTATTTTTTTCACACGGTCGACAAAGCGATTATGATACGTCCTGGTCAAGTTTAGTTGTCCGAATATAAGCCAAAACTTGGTCAAATTAAGTTGTCTGAGAAAAGAAGCCAAATTAAGCTTACTATCCCTGAAATTACTGAGGCAATAAGCTGAGCTCGGCCCGCAAAGGAGAATGTTTTCACTGCCCAACCTCTGAATTTGTTAACCAATTTTTCTAACGAGTACGTATGTATGATGGACAGAACTATGACTTTAGTGCTAAAGTAGAACTTTAAGATCACGACCATAATAATATTCCTCTCAAACTTATAAGAACTGGTACAATGGCTTATGGCTTCATTGCAAATTATCGTAACTTCAAAAAAATGATGGACAATACTAAAGACTTTTTTTTTTTGCTTTTAGTTTTCAGTTTGTTAACCCACCTTAAATTATGGATCTATAAGATCATTGATTTACGGTAAATCAAATCCAACAGATTAGAGAGAAAGAAAAGTAGATATATAATAGATGTCTTAATTGATTCAACACTTCCTTGCATTATACATATGTATGATCCAAAGATTAATAATTTAAACAAATACCTAAAATGATCTAATTTTTTTTTTAGCAATAAGTATACAAGAAAACAATGAATCAATATGAATAGCATGAATTTCATATAACTAAACTCAAGAAAACTAAAATCAAAATACTTTGGAAACTCATCATAACTCAATCACCCGTTTTGACCTACACGCGACACCGAGTAATCCCATCCGCCAGATTTTCCAAGCTTTGAACATCCACCGTTGGATTCCAACCCACCGTTGGATTCCAACCCACCATGTTGATTGGAGCAATCTCAGCCGACCGATTATTACTCATCTCAATGATCCTCTTACCTAAATTCTCTCTCAACGAACTCATCGCCGCCATGTACTCTTGCAGCTCTTCATCCGGCACACTCTCCACCGGACGCTCCCACCACGGCCTCCTACCTTCCTCTTCCTCCGCTACGTCATCATCGCCGGAATACACGTCCAAACTCACCGGACTCTTACGAAGATACTTGTCGATCAATGTGTCCACGTGACCAAATTTGTAGATCCTATCGCTTTTAGAGAAGGTTATGACCGCGATTTTTGCCCCCGTGAGAACGCTCAATTCAGCGGATTTCTTGAACAGCCCCCGACGTCGTTTCGAGAACGTTACTTGTCTCTTGCTCTCTATCTTGATCTCTTTGATCTCTATCTTCTGTCGACCTCGGCTCGTTTTAGGGGTTTGTTTTGTTAACTCCATTTTTGGTTGACTAACCGCCACGTTAGGGTTTTGATGTTGACCATTGGGCGTCAAGAAAGTGATCGATGAAGTTTCTCTTTCTTCTTCCATGACCAAGCAAGAGGGTAGAGATGAAAATATGATTAGGGCTTTTTCTTTCGAAGTGGTATTTATAGTTGTTCATGGGTAGGTAATAAAAAAAGGAAATTATTCATTTTTGGTCAGTTTTGGCATTAAATGCACTTCTAATTAATTATCATTTTTTTCGGAATGATTCCTCCTTGAATCAAATCTTAGCATTTTCATTACAATGTAGGACACGTATTATCTTGTAGAAATTTTTATAGAAACATATATAAATATCCGAGATACTAATTTCCATTTTACTCGTTCATTGAAGAATCTGTTTTGATGCATGTAATATTCATATAAATATATGGTGTCCACCCAAATATTCAATATAATATATGCGAATCGCGTTTTACTACAAATATTGTGGATGCCATGCCGTTTACACAAATATCGTGTGTGGTCTGGGGCAAGTAGTAGAAGATCCGTCATGTGGATCAATATCACGTGTTGAGTACTTCCACAATCTTCAAAAAAAGTTATGGTTTTTTCGTGTTTCTTAGACACTGTTACCATAAGTGATAAGAATATCCAACTTTCTAGTCGAGTTTCAGACCGAAATATATCCAGTAATAAAAAATTTGAGGCTTTATTTCATTACATTACCATTTAATTATCCCAAATATCATGGTAATGACTGGTTGATAAAAAATCTCATTTGTGGTCAATAAGTGATCGATGACATCATTCTAAGTTCTAATTGATTGATTACAACCTAATCAATTGATCTAGATTCAAACAACGATTAATGGCAGTATATGGGTTTAGTCGGTGTTAGATTTACTTTAATTAGCCAGCTAATAAATTTTGAATTTTTTAAAGATATTTTATTCATATGAATGTTATACCAATTTTCTTTTTTGCTAAAAATGTTACCAATTTTCTTAACTTTGGTTCAACCGTTTGGGGAACCATTCAAGATTTGTTTGGATTTGCTTTGGTTACTCTAAGAATTTGGTTCTCTTAATTCAAATCGATGACCACCTCTAAGTCTCTAACACGGGACGTGATGATGAATTGTAACACATTTTGAATGATTCGAACCAATTTTCGTCGTACCTAATCAACGAAAATTCTCTGGCATACCAACTAGTAAACTTTTAGGCTTTTTTTTATAGCGTGTAGGCTTCGATTCTTTTTACGATTTGTATATTTTTTAGTCCGAGCTAAGTAACACTTGAATTCCAAGGAAGCTTCACTTTGATTCCGGCCCACATTTTATCACTGACCAAAATGTTATATGGTTACCAAATGTAGGTAATTCTATTGGTCGTGGATTGATCTCCAAAATAGACAAGCTGCAAGAAAACCATGGTTCGAACCTTGTTTGGAAGAAATTTATTTACATTCCGATGGAAAGATGTACGGATTTCGGCGTAAAACTCTTCCATTATATACCCAAATATCAGAAAAGATCACGTCCCTATAATCAGCTAACATTTTTTTCTTTTCCATTAACCTATTGCATTATATTTCATGCTACTAAATCACAATCGCGAAGTAATTATAGTGACGTGATGTGACGTTTGAATAGTGAAATTTGTTAATGTGGATCTCTCTTAAAAATTCAGTTCAAATGAAACAAAGCAAAAGTTGATGTGAAGCTATGCTAGAGATCGAATCCTACGTACCAACTAAATACTCTCACTAGTTTTACAAGTCCCAAAAATTAGTCCAGGCTCTTGCATAAAAACTCCATGTAATTAGAAAGAAAGAAAAACGATATACAGACATTTGTTACTATACAAACATATTTGGATCATATGATAAGATGCATGGTCTTTTTTTAGTATAAAGTACTTGGACCAATTTAAGCACTCCGGGGGCGAACTAGCTTCTGAAATGATATATATTAATGCAAAGAAGGAAGTTTTTATAAAAAGGCAAGGGTCGATTAATAAAATAGTTGAAGTGTGGCAGAGTTTGTCAAGGTCTCTAGTTCGATCTCCCATTACGTTAAAATTTGTCTTGAATTTGTTTCTTTAAGAAGTAAGGGTAAAATGGTCAAACCAATAACACAAATCTTTCTTTACTGACTTTTCCTGACTCCTGTGGTCTTCGTCGCCGAAATTGAAAATCAAAATCACTCCTACCTCCGAAATTGCGTAGCT